ATGGTTGCGAGACACACAAGCGTGCAGACTGTGCCGACACAGGTGCTACCGCCTTCTTTGACACCATCCAGGGCGACTCTAAGAACCTCGAGTTCCAGCAGTGTCATTGTGGTGCCAACCCGCTCGACTTTAAGGACACGGTCGAACACGGTTACTTCTTCTTCCGCGATCAATGCTATCAGCCCAGCGCCGACGGTGGTGATAAGAACGATGACCGCAATAACATATATGCCATGGCCCAAGTCGTATCCAAACATCAGCCCCGAGCGGAGAACGCGGAGGACTTGGGGACGCATTTGCGCAAGGGCTTTGGAACCATTGCCTCTGATGCGGGGGACGCAGCCGCACAGGCATACAACACCACCAAGGCTGTGGGTAAGGCCATGGGCAAGGCCGGCCTAAGTATCGGGCGAGCAGCTGGTCAAACTGTCCTAGACGCGGGCGAGTCAGTTGCAAAGACGGTCGGTGGCGTGGCATTGAACACCGCCGGTGACATCGGCGGAGTCATCGCCAACGGGAGCCAGTCGCTCAGGAACAAGATCACTGGACCTGAAGCCTCTTCCACCGGACACCCAGACCAAACAAACCCTCTGCGGGAGGCGCTGAAGGATGTGGACGTCAAGGACGCCAAAGCGGTTAAGAAGTCGTTGACCACGGGCGTAAGTCCGTCAAAGCTGAACCCCAAACTGGAACGCGTTATGGGCACGCTGAGCCTGCCGCCGAGTCTCAGCAAGGAGGTTATTGCTAACTTGTCAGAGGCGAGCCCACCACCGAAGGATGTGGCCGACAAGTTCGGGGCTGAGAAGAAGTCCATTGAACTTCCACGAGCTTCACCCTAGTTTCTTCCTTTTACACCGCAATGCCCCTTTGACTTTTTTCTACCTGCTTTTTCATGGAAGACACCTTGATCAATATCATCCGCAAGCAAGAGGTACTCAACAGCCGGGATGCTACAAACGAACAACGAAAAGATGCCTCGGAGTGGTTGACAAACGTGCAGAAGACCAACGGCATGATGGAGGGAGTCAGCGTAGGCACGCTAATGTACTTCCACTTGCACAACTTGCTGATTCCTAGCTCCCAAAGAACACCTGGTGTGCCATCCGACACACAACTCAGCCCCAGCCCCGGTCCGGTTGTGCCGGAGGCGGCTCCGTCTGCAGAGTACACACAACTCTTGTCGACTTTGCGAGGCTCGCCGTTGGAACTGCCCGTGGCGCTCTTTTGTGCACAGACAATGGCGCTGAAGTTGAAACAGGTGCTGACCAAGCCGACGAGCATGAAAGAAAGCGTTTTAGAATCCTGGATGGATCTTACACTCTTGGGGCGGCTGTTCAGCGAGTGCATTTTAGTGCCTGTAAAGAAAACGCTACAAATTTGCTTGGGTCATGCGGTCGTAATCAAGATGGCACTCGGCCCACAAGTCTCCTCTGGACCGGGAGCGGCCCCGGTGGTGACCAGTGATGTTTCCGACTTGCTGACGATTGCCGTGGACGGCGGCCAGGCCGTGTGCGAACAAATGTTGAGTGCGGCCAAGAGCGGCGCGTGGGATAACGTGGCTGCCTTGACCAAGAAAGAGGGTGACTACCACCTCATTATGTACATCGCCGAGAGCCTGAAACTGGAGTCCCAAGACCCGGAAGGCCGGTTGCGACTACTGCCGATCCAACTGGCCACCAAGATGTGCGACTCAGCGTGCCTGCCAGAACTGCTGCAAACCTCTGTGGGCAGTGCCGCCTTCGACGACGTGGCGGCCTATGTGGTGGAGCATATCGAGATGGTTGAGGAACTGTGTAAAGCGTGGCAACAGATGGCGCTGAACTACCCAATTCCGGAGTATGACCATCGCTGCTTGGTCCAGCTGTATCCCACTATTGCCAAACACCAAAGGGCGCTTACGGAGGTACTAATGCAGATCCCAACTCATAGCTATACTTACCGGAATAGCGTTGGCTCGCTGACCAACTCAGTCGCCCTTCTCTCGACAGCCGTCAAGTCCAAAGTGCGACAAATCATCCATGTCTGTCGCACACGCACCGGCAAGGCCAAGTCCAATAATGCCAACGAATCCGACTGGCTTGGCTACGGCCTCGCCGATCTGATCTATGTCACCAACACGGACACCAAACACCTGATTCAACTGAATGTTACCGTCGGTCAAAAACTGACTCAAAGGATCCAGTTCACCAGAACAGTCAGGGGCCTTAGGCTGTCCAAGGACGTGGAGGCTGACCTGGAGAAGCTTGCACAGCAAGACAAACAGAGGACAGTCTATCAAAAACAGTGTTTAGACGTTTCGTTGAGTATGCCCCCCTTATCCCTGACCGCTGTCTCCCTTATCCCTGCCCGCTGTCCACGCACTTCAACGTCCTGAGGGAGACGGTTCGGGCGGGTTGAAAGGTATGTATTTTTGTAGACGGTTTCTTTCACACAAGTCAGGGGTTAAATGACCTGCCGGACTGGGCGGATGTAACGAGGTTGCCGGAGGATGTGAAAACGCCCCAAGAGCTGTTAGCTACGTACCAAACATTGGCCGCCTTTTCCGATGATGACGAGAGCATGGAAGACTTCGGTGAGGAGGAAATCCAGGACAAGTGGCGGAGTTTCGAAGCGTTGTGTTGCTCGTGCATGGTCGCATACTTGCAGTGGTTGGGAAGTCTGGTTCACGCGGCAGGTCCTTTGTTCGCATACGGGTTTTGCAATAGTGGGTTGTGTGTTGGCGAGAACGCTGAAAGTTCGAAGCGTTTTGCGGAACTGTATCGTGGTCTATGTGTGGAGCAAGCGAAAAGCAGTGCCGCGGCGGTGGGATTAGTAACCCCGGCAATGGCCACCCCGGGATTAACGCCGGGTATGGATAGTCGTCGCTCGTCGAACGCTTCGGGTCGGGGGTCTTCTAGTATGCCTCCATTGGTATTGGGCCCGTTGCCGCCGTTGCCTAAAGTGGACCACACGGATCTGGAGGCGTGGGTGCAGCTTGCGTTAAACTACGGCTTGCCTGAACGTCTATTGACGGTCCCGGAAAGGACAGGAGAAGAACTGGACAGGTTGGTTAACGGGCCATTCAAGACTTTCGGACCAGCGTTAATAGTGTGGGCATCGGAGGGATCTTTGCTGGACTACGACGAAGCCTGTTCCTCACTGAATGACAATATCCACAACGCTCTTCGCGACTTCAAACAACCTCTTGCTGGCGGCGCGGCGGCGGCGCCGCCGCCGGCGCTGGAAATGGTCCTGTTGCGGTCGATGCGAGCAACAGTGTACCCGTTCAACTTTCCGGAGTTGACGGCGAAGCTGAAGAGAGAATATTGTGACCACCGAGATGAGGTGCGGCGGAACTTGCGGAGTTGGATCGCCGGTGTGGATAACGTGACGTTGTGGACGTTGATTGATAAGATTGCGGCGCCGCTGTTGGCGACACCGGAGGCAGTGGACTGGCGAGTGGTGGAGACGATAATTTTGGCTATCGCCAATACAGTTAGTTTTATCCCAGGGGAAGCTGCGCAATTGCTGAAGTTGGATGTCGTGCGTAAGTATGCCACCGAACACCGTGCCGTCCTGCGCCAGTTTCTGGCAATCGTCGTGGGCCTGAGTCAGTTCCCACAAGTATACAGCGAGGAGTACCTGGAATTGGCGTTTACCGTAAGCCGCGCGGCTTTCCGTGTGCCCCAGTCCGATAGCTGTTACCCGCTCGCCTCCAAGATGGACCATGTAGGCGCCGTGGCCTTGTCGCGCGTACTCAGCCACGTGCCGGCCGTCTTCCGGGACCCCACTCGTCCGGCGGTCGCGCAGGCGGCGCCTGGGGCCTGGGTCTTTCCCCCCACGCGGCCAGTCGCCGCGCAGCTTCACTGGGATCTTTACCACCTGACCGAAGACTGCGTCAAACGTGCGCTTGCACACAAGACTGGAAAAAGCAAAGACACTAAGTGCTTCTGCTCCCTCCGGTCCCTTCCCAGCATGTACTACTGCTGTGCACGCGCCCTCTCCCTTTCCGCGGACGCCTACGGTGATGGACCCGTGCCTCTACCACCAGGTTTTGAACCCGGGAACATCCTCGGTGTCAGTAATTGCTTCATCGACAACGAAGTCCATCACTGCCTCGAAGCACTTCAGGACATCGGACCCGTCCTCGAACAACCCACCCCCGACCAGTCACTCCTCGTCGCTTGCGCCGCCGCCATCCTCGAAGGCCTCGCCATCTACGTCGCACACGTCCTGCCCCCCGGCATGGCCACCCCCCTCAACGTCACGAAGGACGCAGGCGTCGTCGACGACTCCGAACGCTGGGGTAGTGCCGGCAGCCAACGCTTCCTCGCCGACAAAACCGCCGCCCAAGAGGCCTGCAACCGCTGCACGATCGCTGCTACTTTCTACCCAGAACTCTACGACGCCGCAGCACCTTACATCGGCGAAGTCGACTCCATCACCCGAGCACTCAAATTACTCACCAATGCTCTCCTCAGTAATCTCCCCGGGCACCTTCTCGGTCCCATCTTCTCGGTCCCACCTTCCAGGTGCCCCCCCCCTCCCCCACCTTGAGATCATTCAACCTAGGTTTCGTAGATTCTGGGTTGGTACTGGATCCGTGGTTTGTGGAGAAGATTCTCCCAAAGATTGCGAATTCGCCTTTGCTGGAGTGTGTGGAGGGGTACCTAACGGCGCTGCAGTTCTTAGGTGAGCGGCGACCGGACCTCAGTGCCTTTGATGAGTTGATTTCCGCGCGGCTGAACGAATTGATAGCGCCGGAGGCGTGTACGTTGTCCAAAGCGCACGAGTTGGCTGTTTATTGCAACGCGGTGATCCGGGTTGTGAAGAAGCGGGTGGAGCTTTTCGGGGAGGGCGGTTTGCCGACAAGCACGGACGGGATCCTGGCCAAGATGTACGCGGTGTCGTTGGTGGGAGTATTGGCGTACACCCACGCGATTTACAGAGACAGTGTGGCGGAGAAGCTGGCGACACCAGACGCTTGTTTGGAGGTCATGGTTGACTTGACTACCCGGTTTAAGGGACAGGTCTTGCGGCCGGGTAAGGGTTTCGAAATTACGGTGCACAACCTCTGCGCGGATACTCAATTGAGGGCCGCTGGCAAAGGTAGCGCCAAAAGTCGCGAAAGCATTTCGAGCGGACCCCCTTCCCCGGTACCCGTGACCCGACTGGCTACCCCGCAGAGCGCCCAGACCGACTTACCTTGTGAGGTTTTGACCACCGTCGCAATCATGGCACTCATCTCTGCTCAAGACGCCTGTCCCTCTGTCTCCTCCAGAGCCCTCCAAAAAAGCCTTGACCTCGCACCTCAGGTGTTGGACAAAGCCGCTGTTGAAGGTGCAGCAGCCTACCTCACCTGCGCACTGCCCTTCGACACCACTGGAAACACACTCCCCGCCGTCCCCTACAAGTGGGCGGCTTCCGAGGACTCACTCAGACTCTTCATCGAAGCCGCTGGGAACGCAAATCCCCAACAGTGGAAGAAAGTCATCAAAGGCCAGTGCCAACTACTCAACGTCGCCAAACGCAGACCCAGCCGAAACAGCCTCATGCCCTAACTACTTGACATGCATACTTGACATGCATACTTGACATGTATACTTGACATGTATACTTGACGCGGTTGCATGATTGACTAGACCGCAATACTGACTTGGCTCCGGTACTTTACCGGGCAGCATACTCGATCAGACTGGCCACTTGAGCAGGCTACATTATTGACTTGGTTGCAGACTCAGTTAGATTTAATTATTGTAATTTCTGTGTATGCTTAGCGTCTGCGTATTTTTATGTTTAGTTACGACGAAATTTATTGTGATGGCTATTCGATGACTACTTCGGTACTTACCATGGCGGCTGTTGCGCAATCTTCCCTTGGAGGGTCCGCATACCGCCGTAATCTCGTTTCGGTCCGAGAGTTCTTCCGGTTGGATAATCCGGCCGATCGGAGAGTCCGCCCGGGCGTAGCCTGTTTGGCCGAGAGTTCCCAGTCGTCAATAAGTCACAGGAGCGGGTATGATCGGGGCAAGTGTGCCTACGTCCCTGGTGCAGAAGCTACAGACGGTTGCTTGGACGGGTATGGAGGAGGCGCAGAAGGGGCAGTCTTGAGTAGCTGGTGCTTTTCTACGAAGTTTCTTGAGTAACCAGTTATAAGGTGTTATAATTCCAAAGTAGAGGACCATAGCCATGATAAGGAAGCTGATGATAGTGTTGCAGAGATGACCAATCTTGAAAATATTATTCTCAATGGTGACATTGAGCGCCCCGAAGTCCGGCTGTCCACCCATAACACCCAATAATGGGTTGATAACATCTTCCACGAGCGCGTCCACAATAGATTTGAAAGATGCCCCGATGATAACACCAACGGCTAAATCAACCGCATTCCCACGCGATAAAAAAGCTTTGAAACCTTGCATCCCGGTTCCACACTGTAAGGACATATACTGTTAACCCAGACAGACCCTTTACTTACCGTACCCATGCCGGCTCAGATTCCGCACCCAAACACAATCGATTACAATATTGCCCCGGCCGGCTGACGGATCTAAGCCGTGAATGGCTGGCTGCCTGTATGCCGAAAGAGCACTGGTACTATGTGGTGCTACGTGGCCGACGGACTCGGGATGGGCTCGGGATGGTACAGCAACGTTGAAGGACGGCAACCAGTGCCACCGTGCAAAAGTTAGCGAGTATGAGGAAGAAATCGGGAGTTGTCGGATCTAAAAATTTGGTTTAGACAAAAATCGCGGCAGGCTTAGTTGAGCGCGGCGGCGCCGACGACCAGTGCGGCGAAAGTGGCGGCCGTGGTAACGGAAACACTGTCGGTGGCTTCGGTACCGGTACTGTCGGTCTTGTCAGTTTTGTCAGTTTTGTCACTGGCAGCGGTGGTAGTGGTCTTGTCACCGGCAGCAGTGGTAGTGGTGGAGCCGTCGGCGTCGGTGGAGCTGGTGTCATCGCCGCCGGAAGACTTGTACTGGGCGGCCCAGGAGGCGACCACATCTCCATCACCGGCCGTGCAGCCCTCGGGAAGAGTGACGATGAGGTGGCCCTGGTCGGAGCCAAGGATAGATTCGCCACCGGCAGCCAGTTCAAGTCCGTCGTCGGACACTGCAGGCTTCACATCCGCGGCATCAGTCGCGTCCGCACTCGTACACGTGTCGTCCACCTCCGCCGCGCGGCCAACCGTGGCCTTGGAGCCGTCACAGTCGTCGCCCGTCGGTGCCGGCAGCTGCAACTTAGTGAGGTACGAGTCCTCGGGCAAAGCACCCGCCGTCGCCACCACAAGATCTTTCTTGCACAGGTCCTCGTCCGCCAGCGTCACGTCCGACGTCGCGAGCACATCGCAGCCTTTCGCGGCACAAGCCTTTGCAGCAGTGTCTGCATCCTCAAGCGCGTCGAAAGCCTTCTCGAATTTGCACTCGTCGATGTCTGCACCACAAGCATCGTCAGCCAACTTCAATGTCACCGACGTGGGGGTGATATCGGCGAAAGCAGCGATGGCGAACAAAGCGAATCCCTTCATAATATGGTGCGCGTGTGCGTGCAGTTGCACCCTCCCACACGTGCCTCGTACACGTGCCTCGCGCACCCGCTGCCCGGTGGCCTATCCACGAGCTATCGTAGCCGCGGGTAGCCGGTCCAGATACGGAGTTTAGGGTGGGGCAGGGGGTTGCAAAGTACTGGGGGGATAGGGGTAACTTGTTGGAGTAAGTGGCAGGAAAAAATCTGGTTAAAATGCCGTGGCGTGTCAGCGACCGAGGACGTTGGTCCCGGGCTGGCGGGGCAGCGGCGCCCATTCCAGGACGTAAGACGGGTGGTGGGTGACGGACGGTTCCTGTAGTGGCTCAAGAGCGGTTGGCGCCGCTGGCGGCGTTGGTATGCGACCGGGCGGTGTTTGCGGCTCGGTTGGCGCCGGACGCGGACTGGGACTTTAGTGCGACGTCGCGGCTATTCCGGTACGCGCAGGTGATGGGTTGTAACTGGCCTGCGTTGTGCGATATATTGAACTCGCCCGAGGAAGGCGACCGCCCACGGTACGTATTGCCCGAAGACTCTGACCAAGAAGGCATTCCCAAGACCGGCGGTTGGGTACTCCACGGTCGGCAGGGCATCGGTTCCGAAGAAGGAATCGGTGAGAGACTTGGTGCCGAGGAGAGACTGGGTGCAGAAAGGGATTTAGGCCCAGAGGGGGGGTTTGGGCCGTCACAGAGCGGCCCACAGGGACAGGGGGCGCTGGCGGCTGGGCTTAGCGGAGGTGGTAGAGGGTCTCTGCTTAGTTCTCAGAACGGAAATGCGTCTCAGCCGCAGTTCACCATTTACCAAGTGAAGAGTCGGTTGTTTGCTGTATTGCGGGAACTAACAGGTGAGAAGACGCGGTATAAGTACGACGCGAAGGCGGACGAGCAGCGACGGCTGATTCTGCTAGATCGGTACAACGTAGACAGTGCGGCGGCGGCGAACGAGCAGCGGCTTCGTGAGGCGCTAAGTGCATTGCAGCAAATGTCGAAGGAGCTCAAGGCGGAGCCGAAGGCCACGAAAACAGCATTGCCGACGTCGGGAGAGAAGTCGGCACTGGTTGCCGAGACGGAGACAGGGCAGTTCGTGGTCAACGACGCCGGGCTTGTGCTTACGCTCATGGAACTGGCACCGCCGTTGGCCCTCATGGAGCACATTGTTAACCCCGGTGGCACAAGCAAGGGCGTCGTACTTTGCTCACACCTCGTCAAAACCGCCGAAGACGCCGTCCTACATGCACTCAAGAAACAGTCTTCAGCCGGAAAGGAGTATCATGAATCAATTTATAGAGCACTCAAACGAGCCCGAGACGACCCCGATATTGATTCTGGACTCCGTACCGTTGATGGAGAACTCCTCAGACCCACTCTCTACTTCCAACGAGACAAATTCACACCCTACATCTTCTCCCTCCACTGCCTCAAATCCTACGCGTAATTCCACCACACACAGACACACGCCGGTTACACAGAGGCAGGCTGGGGGCTACACAGAGGGTGGGGGTGGGGCCGCGTAAGGTTGGGGTTCAAACAGATGGACAGGAGTACCACACGGGTAGAGGTTGACAACGGCAACACACGGGTAGCGGGTCAACAGACCACGATCTGTATTGCTTTTAGCTCGACGCTGGAGCAAGCCTGTGTCTTGGTCAATCTGCAGAAACAACTCAAGACGCTTGAAACCATGCAGCAGCAGTGGGCCGACCGTCTGAGAGATGTTCGGAAAGTTGTTCGTGCTACCAAAAAGAAAAGGGCTACTTGAACTGTCTTGAGCTGGGCTCCGGCGATGACCGGCTCCGGGTCAGGTGACGAGGGACGCGCCGTTCAGGTACCGTACGTTCGACCCTGCTCGGCGGCTGCTGGGCTTCGGCTCTAATTCCAAACCGGCCGTCCACAGCGGCTTGTCGATCGTCCGTCGACTGGGCAAAGACGCTAAGTGGAAGAGTAACAAGATCGATGACAGGAGGTGGGCGGGGTCGGACTGAAGGTGGGTGGGTGGGTGGGTGGGCGGGCGGATGCTGACTCACTCGGACCTAACGGGTCGATGGCAGAATGCACCGCGGGTGCCGCGACAAAACTCGGAATGTTTCCTCCATCCATTGACTTGACACCTTTAGCGGAGTTTTTCCGTGAACTAACACAAACATCAAGCGGACGCAGCACGTTCCGCATGCGGCCGCAGCGTAAGGTGTGTGGAGTGCACACATGTATGGGGGTGTGTGCGGTGCAGAGATGCGTGCAGTGAGCTACGAGTGTGAGCTACGGGTGTGTGGAGGAGAGGTTGTGTGTCAGTACTCCTGGAGTCTGATGACCGGTATTTCGGTGTAGACTGCGACGGGTTTCGATCGAGTGGGTTTCCGGCCTGGCGTGGGTTTGAGTAGTTGAAGGCACTCGGTGACGACGCGCTCCATCCAGTAGTACTCCTTGGCGCGCGCCTTGGCGTTGCGTTCCATGACGAGTTTCTCAACGCGCGGGACCTCGACATAAAGGTTGGACCCTTCGCATTGGAGACACTCACCGGAGTCGGGTCCTGAGGAGAGCGTGACCGAGCCGTCGCCGTGGTGCAACCCTTCTCGCCGGTCGCCCTTGTCCTTCGCACGCGCGTCGGATTCGCGCACGCTCGCGGCTGCACGCGCGGCCTGTGGCGACCCCATGTGCACTAGGCCCAAGTGCGACCCCGTATTCCCATACGGGATCGCGCCGACGTGTGGCGAACCCATGAGCGAGCCGCCCATGTGTGCACTCGTGTTGACATGTGGCGTACCGACATGTGGCGAACCTAGGTGGGAACTGCCGTGTGGCGAACCTAGGTGGGAAGAACCCATATGGGGCGAGCCGGGGTCCGCCAACTGGCAGGCCTTGGCACTTGCGTAGAGCTGACCCGTCGAGCTGTGCACGACCTTGGAGCTCAGACCCGGCGAGGGCAGCCGACTCGAAGAGAGCAGTCCAGGCGACGCGCGTCGCAATTCGCCTCCCACCGGAGCCGGCTGCGTATCGCGCAAGAGCAACGGCGACTGCAAGATGGCGTTGTCCTGAAGCAGTTCACGCTGCAGCGAGTGTCCCCGCTCCCGCTCCCGGTCTCTGTCGACCCGATCGCGGTCTCGGTCTAGATTTCGGTTCCGATCTCGATGGAGAGAATCGCGGTGGAGCGATTCCCGGGCATTACGTGGCGTGAGACTACGTGGCGTAAGAGGCGGTTGACCCTTACGGAGAAGGGTCGGACCCGGTCTCGGTTGCGCAGTGGGGTAGGGCAATTTGGGGTCTTGGTCCTCGTCCTCACTGTCCGTATTCAGGAAGCCACAGGGTCGCGGTGAAGGAATATCCGATGCAAAACCACTCAGCCTTCGACGCACGCGTCGCATACTTCCCGACTCATCCGAGTAGCCCGAAAGAACCTCGCCGGAAATAAGCATCCCCGTCGCCGGACCCGCCCCCACAACCTCCAATTCTGGCCCGCTCTCGCTTGCCTCCGCAGTGGTCACGCTTGTCGGGCTCTGCACTCGCGCGGCGCGTCCCGCCGCCTTCGCCGTCGGCCGAGACCCAGGCCAGACGGGGGTCTTGCCCGGCCACTCAGGAGTCTTCCAATCACAAGCCTTACCTGCCCAGGAGGGGCTTTTGCCGGTCCAGGAGGAGGTCTTCCACTCAGTTGTTGTCTTGGCGGTCCAGTCGGGTGTTTTCCAGTCGGGAGTCTTGGCGGTCCAATCGGGTGTTTTGGCTGAACCGTCGGGCGTGACGGGTAGGTCGCTGAAGGGCTGTTCACTCATCGGCAAGTCGCCACTTTCGCGACGGCCAGCGGTAGAGGAGTCGCGACGGTGCAGGAAAGGTTCGGGGTTCAAATCCGGGCAATGCCGACTCAACGGCGAACTCCGCGGCTGCCGGATGCGCATCGAAATCGCCTCCGCCGTACCGAACGTCCGCCGCGCACTCGGGACCCAGGCCGGCCCGCCGTTCCACATCGACCCGCCCCGTCCCTCACCCGCCGCCCGCCGGTCCGCGAAGGTCCGCGACGAGACCGGTCCGTGCGACGGTGGATCCATCGACTGCCGAGCGTTGTTCATCAACCGACTCACCTTGTCCACTAACGACCCGGCCCGCTCTCCCGTCTCGCCGCAGAATCGGGCAAATGGCTGGTCCAGTCCGCGACCCACCACCTCCGGCTCGCTCCCCGACCCCTCGGGCTGCTGCTCCGATCCCGGGGACCTCGACCCCTGGGGTTTAGACCTCGACCCCTGAGAGTTCGGTCTCGACTCCGCCAGTCGCGACGGACTCAGCTCCCTCCCCGCACTCTCTTCCGACAGCGCCGCCACCTCCAGCCTGGTTCGTAACGCCTTCCGGCTCCCGAGTCGCTCCGCCTCGGCCGGCGCCACCTTCCGCGACGCACTGTGCTCTGTCGACGTCTGTTCCGACACAGCGTCTTCCACGCCCGCGTTTTCTCCCGTCACGGTCTCAGGTGGTCGTTCTCTGATTCGCTCTTCTCTGTCGCTGCGGGGAGGGTCGCTCCGAGGGGGATCGCTTCTGGGGTGGTTGCGCATTCGCTCTTCCTTGTCACTGCGCACCTTGCTGCCCCGGACCTTCTCGCTTCGGGTCTTCTCGCTTCGGGCCTTCTCGCTTCGGGCCTTCTCGCTTCGGGAGGCCGGGTCGTCCTCAAAGCGATGGGGCGGGGTCCGTCGTCCGTGCGGGCTCCCGTAGGCCTCAGTCTTCGCGTCGCGCACTGCCTTGTCGTCCGGAATCTTGCGCTGCGGAGTCGGCTCGTCTGCGTCCTCCTGGAACGACTGCGGCTCGCCCGTGGCGTCCGACAGCCGCTTGCTCAGCCGCTCCTTAGCTTCGCGACTCACCGACCGGCGGATCGTGTTCGGCAGCACGTACTCCGTTGCCGGCCGGGTCGCCGGCGGCGACTCCTCTGGAATGCAGCGACCGACTTTGCTGCTTGTCTTCAGAGGCACCCGGTCCAGCGACCCCCGTTCCGAAGTCTTCCGTTCCGCAGTCTTCTGTTCCGAAGTCTTCCGTTCCAAGGCCCCCCGCGTTTGCTCCGGGGTTCCCCGATCCGGGGTTCTCTGTTCCGAACTTCCCCGTTCCGCGGTGCCCAGATGGAGGGTTCCCCTTTCCGGGGCTCCTCGATCCGGGGTTCTACGTTCTGGGGAACCCTGCGCACTGCCGCCGCTACCCGCGAATTGTTGTCTGTTCTGCGGACTCCGCGTACGGAATGTTTTGCTGTTGTGCACATGTCGCTTCTCTTCCAACCGTGGTCCGACCTGATCCTTCCGCATATCGTAAAGGCGGTCTTGGGAGTCAGTTAGTCGGGACTCAGTAGTCATTCGCGAGTCAGTTAATCGGGAATCAGTTAGTCGGGAGTCAGTTAGTCGGGAGTCAGTTAGTCCTGACTCAGTTAGTCGGGAGTCGGCAAGACCCTTCTCCATTTTCTGGAACCACTCGTCCCCGGTCATTTGTCCTTTGGGCCTCCCGTCGGGAGCTCCCTTGGACCCGCTCGAGAGACCTCCGGATGGACGCGGGACGTAGTAGAACTTTTTGGAGCCGGACTTTTCCCAGTAATAGAACAGGTGTTTGAAGGCCGGGTGGTTACTCAGGTCCTTGGAACTGTCTGTGAAGTGGTGGTAGCCGTGGAGCACGTCCGACGAGGACAACAGCTGTTGAATTGTCGGCCGCAACTGTGGATCTGGAGTCAGCAGTCCAGCCAAAATGCGCGTGAACCTTTGGCACCAAACCTTCGGCAGCTGCGGTGAGTTAGCCAGACTGTGCCGCCAGGTCTTCAAACGCTCTTCGGTTAATCGGTGCAACGTGAGCACCTCATACAACACACAGCCTAGCAGCCACATATCTCCGTGTTCTTTCAGATTCTCACACTCATACTCCCTCCATGGCTGGCGCGAATCTCGATCCATAGTACGCGCCCGAGTCATCCCTTCGCCGCGAGCGTGATAGTCCGCCTCACTCGGGGATGCATCGCCTTTAATTCGACCCGTAACCACCTCAGGCGGAAGGAGCGAAGCGTTCACCACATAATCAAACGGGTGGCAATGACCTAGCTTCACGGCGCCACCGAACCCCAAGAAAATATTTTGCGTCGTCACATCACGATGAACCAACTGATGCTTATGCAAATGTCGTAAGCCCAACAACAACTGTAGGAAGATACACCAAACGTCAGTCAAAGGAAAATACTCCTCCAACGCCTTCGCGCCCCGTCGCGCTTCCCGCCGCCGTAGATCTTGCCGCAATGTCCCATTTTCAATGTACTCAGTAACTATCACCGTCGAATCCGCAGCACTCTTGCACTGCCGCTTCTAAAAAGCCAAGAGCCAATCAATTCAAGCAGCGCACACGTGTGTGCACACACGTGCGCAACCTACATGGTTCGTCACAAACGCTAAATGACGCAAGACATTCGGATGCTTGATCCTCAAATATTCATTCAAGATAGTACTAGTGTTGCTATTGACTACAACATCATCATATCTCATCTATCGGCCGAGAACCCTCAGGTCCTCGGTGGGAACGAGCGGGTAATTTGCCAGGGCCGTTACTTGTTGATTTGACATATTTGAGCGCGCACAGATTCTGGGCTTTGGTATCCTCCGCCAACACGCACCGGCTATATCGACCTTTACCTACGAAGAGAATCTATGGCAGGGGAGTGATTTATACCTAGCTCGTGCTTAATGTTATACCGAGAGAGCAGATTGGACTGCTCCTGGTGAGGCATTTTTTCTCATGAATTATTACAGATCAGGCAGGCAGGCAGGCAGGCAGGCAGCTCAGATCGCAGACGGAACAGAGGTTGAGATCAGAGGTTGAGGGCAGAGGTTGAGGGCAGAGGTTGAGGGCAGAGGTTGAGAACAGAGGTTGAGAACACAAAAAGGACTACGACCCGACGGGGAGTCACAGCCCCGAAGGAGTCTTAGTCCGGAGGAGCCACAGTCGGTAGCAGTTGAAGCCCGGGCGTTACGTGAGGAGGAGAGCATTGATGCAGCCGTCTAATTCGGGGTTGTTGGTTACCTGGGCGTACTTTGCCCAGACAACTTTGCCGGTTTGGGTGACGAGGCCTAGATCTGAGACGTCAACTTCAATGATGGTGCCCTTGGTGATGGCTCCGAGCGAGGTATATAAAGGTGACTGGGGGTTCTTCTTGACAGAGACGATGTCTAGTTGGAACGTAGCCTTAAGTTCGGGATGGGTGACGTTGGCTTTCTTCATTCGCAATGCAGTTGGTCGAATATATCGCTCATATTTGGGTGGTTTCCGTGTAAAGTCATCCCCAACGTAGCATACTTTATTGAGCACCCGTTTCCACATCTTTCGCTTCCGTTTTCCGCTGGCCTGAATCCGGAACATTTCCGCTTCAGACATAGCCTTCACCTTGGGGATAGGCACCTCCCACTTGCCCGCCTTTTCCTTTTTCTTCTGCTTCAACATATTTGTCAACACCTTTGTCCGATTCACATTCTCACGGTCGTACAAATACGTGGGCAGCGCGCCCTCCGGCTTCGGCGCCGCCTCCTCCACGTCCTTCACCTCATGCGCCCGAATTTTCTTCTTGATTTCTATCTTCTCCACAAACCGCTTTCGATTCAGGATCTTCGCCTTCAACTTACGTGTCTTCCGACACTTCTTCGACAATTCATGCGGCGCACGGGCCAACTTCTTGCGCTGACGTTCATCATGATCAAACGCCTTGCCGAAACGCTTCTGGTGAAGCTCCACGTACTCGTTCTGCGGCATCGCAGACCCACAATTTTTAAACCCCCCGGCCACCGAACCTGCAGTGTTCAATTCTCGCCAATCCGACGCAATCTACTGGGCCAACACACGTTCAGCCCACCGTACACCAACTACGAGACCACCCAGCCGCCTTCGGCAACTCACAAGTGTGTGTGACACACCCCAAACAAACGTACATCTGCACCTCGCGCAATACATGCCATGGAACACACGTCGTGGAACACGTCGTGCAGCACCGGTGTGGCTCGGCTGCAAAGCAACACCGACCGGGGCAAAGGAGGTAATAATATTATTGCCTGCGGCTTGGTATCATGAGTGCGCCGAAGCCGGAGGGGTTAGTACCCGCAGATATAGTAAGCCGGGTTTACAACACGTCTGTACCACACGTGTGTGCTGCCGGGGATGTCTACCACACTATGACTATGTGCCACTGTGACTATGTGTCTGTAGCATTACGACGTGGATGAGGCTGTTCGATACCACAAGTCGAGTCGGAACAATGAGATTCAGCGCGCACTGGCGCAACGTTGTTTAGAATTGTTGGAGCTGGATGTGACGTGTGTGGAGAGCGTGCCATTGGTGTTGGACATTGGATGTGGGAGTGGGTTGTCCGGCGATATATTAAGCGAGGCGGGTGTGCCTTGGATCGGGATGGATTTGTCTCAGTCGATGTTGGAGATAGCCCGAGAGGAAAGAGCGGACGCGGAATTGTTACGCGCGGATATCGGGGAGTTACAGAACGTCGTACCAAACACGTTCGACGGTGCCATATCCGTTTCCGTTATACAGTGGTTGTGTCACGCGTTCACGTCTGAGCAAGAGCCTCTAAGGCGGTTGCGGCAGTTTTTCCAGTGGCTGTATAATGCCCTTAACAAGTCCGCCCGTGCAGTCTTCCAGTTCTACCCCAGTCATCAGTCGCAGGTCGATATGATTGGTAAAGCCGCCTCTCAAGTCGGCTTCTCCACCTACTTCCTCATTGACAATGCCGAGTCCACAAAGAAAAAGAAAGTCTTCCTCATCGTCACCATTGGCCAACCCGAGGCACGCTCTCTCGTCGGCTCCACCATGGCCGCCGCTAGCAATAGCCCCCGAGCCGCCAAGCACAAGGGCCGCCAAAAGCCACAAAGCAGAAAGGAGTGGGTGGTTAAAAAGAAAGAGAAAATGCGCGCCCTGGGAAAAGAAGTAAAATCTGATTCCAAGTACACTGGACGTAAACGAAAAGACCGCCTATAACCTAACTCGAGAACGACGTGGCACTGTCCCAACAGTACTTCCGAGCAAAGCAGAAGACAAGACGTGAATAAAATTTTTTTGGAGGAACAAAAAAGTAGCCGTCCTCGGTGATAACATGGTAAGGGGAAATACTGGCACTAACCATCACAAAAGGGTCGGGAGAGCAGCCCCACACTCGGCACAACGTTGAGGCTACGCCAAAAGGCGGTCCTCCGCAACCAGCCAGCCACCAGGCGAGTGGTGGATGAGTATGGTCGGGATGTGTGTGATGTAATGTGTTCTGGATAAGGGAACGTGTGTGTTATGTAGGATACTGTTGCCAAAACCCAGCCCAAGAAGCGCGCCTTCAGGACTCTGTCCTACCGTGGTATCACGCTGGAGGCTTTGTTGGACATGCCGTTCGACGACGTGATAAAGCAGCTTCCTTCACGGATCCGTCGCAAATTCGCGCGCAGCAACATCAACCGTCACCGCATGGAGAGGTTCCTGACCAAGTTGGCCCGCGCCAAAAAGGCCTGTGGAGTAGGCCAGCGCCCCAAGCCCGTGAGGACCCACTACCGCAACATGGTTGTTCTTCCGGAGATGGTCGGTTCGCAAATCGCCATCTACAACGGCAAGGTCTTCATGGACGTCGAAATCAAGGTGGACATGATCGGCCACTATCTCGGCGAGTTCGCTATCACCTACAAACCCGTAACACACGGAAAATACGGTGCCACCACAGCTAAGGTCACCAACTCTAAGATGTATCAAGTCCACTACTAAAAATTTTTTGATGTCAAACATGTCCGCCTACAGATGCTACCACCCATCAGATACTAACCGCTTTCAGATTGCAGAGAGAGGTCTGTTATGCCCCAAAACTGTCCCATCAACCGCAACGCGTAACCTTGGCGCGACCGCAACGCGTAACCTTGGCGCGTTGTGAATCTCAAGATGGCACCCCTAAGATTCACGTCCCGAACTGGGTTGAGTCTTCATCGTTATACTCCTCCTCGTTATAGTCCTCCTCGTCTTCCATTGCACTGTCGCTATAGTCATCCTCATCATCTTCGGCCAGATCAGCGATCATGCCCATGCGGACTCTGAGCATAACAACGAGCGCTTTCATTTCAGGTGTAAGAGGGTCCTTCTGGTTTATGATTCCGTCGTTAACGAGTGCTTGAGCCAGTGTGCTGTAGTAGTCCACGGGTTCTGGCTGCAGTGCTTGGGCATGCTGCGGCTGGGCGACAGCTGCGAACGAGATCCGGGTCTCGTCGAGCATGGCGGTACAGAGAGTATCTATGTGTTCTATGAACTGGCGGTAAGTAACTCCCGAGACCCGTTCGAAGAGCCACTCATTGGGTAGTCTTCGGAGGAAGTTATCCAGGTGTGCTTCGCCCACTTGGCTGGCGCTTTCCAGGTCCTTGACCATGAGGTAAAGGGCAGAGCTCTTGGCTTGTTCGAAGTGCGCGACTGTGGGGAAGGAAACTTCCACGACCATTTTGTTGGCTGTCTCGGTTTCGAGGACGCGCCGACAGTTGGCCTGTAGCTCTTGCAAGCTTTCGCGGGCTTTCTGCAGGGCCAACGACGGCTGCGACGCGTCACTCAGACTCAGGAGCAAGCACCGACTCTCTTCGTCAATGGTCATCGAGGCTGAGTAGGCCGCGCCCGAGTCTCTCACCGGCTGGAAGATGGGGCCTTCCGTCGCCTTCAAGTACTCTTCGACCACGTTCAAGACGTGGTCGTGGCGGTAAATTTCGTGGCTGAACGGATTGCTAGCCGCCGCCGGGATGAGGGAGGCCGGTAGCGGCGTAGTAATCTCCACGTGCCCTACCTGGATGTCTTTCAGCTTCAAGTTCACCGACAACTTGGCGTTTGGCTTCTTGAAACCCGCAATGGCCGGGAAAGGCGGCAGCGGGTACGGCTCCTCGCCCGCAGAAATAAACCACTTAGGCCAGAGCGTCTTGTGTAGCGCTTCATGGCTGCCAAACACTTTTGTGTCTCCCTGCACGCTTATGATGCAGTGGCCTTCGCTGATTTTCTCGTACACCGTACGCAGTATCCACTGAACCATCGGCTGGAATACCTCCGTGTACGTCAACACCGTACGCAGCAATAAGCACTGGACAAGGTAGCTCTGGTTTGTCACTATACTCTTGGTACCGAAGTTGGCTAAGTCGTGCAGGTCCGAAATTATCGGACTTCCGGATCGAAGACAATCATTCAGATAAGACACTTCCTGTTTGGCCAGTACAACCAGTCGGTCGATGTGGACATCAGTGCATTCCAGCACGCATTTGAGATACGTCAGCGCCTCGGCGTACTTGTCCGAAGGTACCTTTAGCAGTAGCGTAAATAAGTCATTGAAAGCGTGCGATGTCTCAAAGCCGTTGGAGGAGCTGTATTCCACACACACCTTATTCAGGTATTCCATGACAATCTCGGGAGCCACTAAGTCCACAGGCGCCTTGAGACTCGACTGCCACTCATTAGTCAGCAACAAATGGGTCTTAAATAAACACTTGCACACGATGTGCAAAAGATGCTTCACCTCCAGATTCTTCAAAACCCAGTTTAGCGTTCTAGAAAACACGTAGTCGCGCGCCTCAAAGTACAAGCCGTCCGATGATGACGAACTGGAAGTTGTAGACGAATCCTCCTCCTCCACCATATTGCTGTAACTCGCATCTTCCGCGTCCAAAGACCCCATTCTGCGTCCTACACCTGCGCCTAGACCTGCGCCTAGACCTGGGCCTAGACCTGCGCCTAGACCTGGGCCTACACCTGCGCCCGGCCCTGTCCCGGTTGCTGCATGTCTGTGAGCTCCGATGTGGGAATCGGTTGTTCCGTCATGTTCCGATGAGAAATCATCATCGTCGTATTCGTACTCGTCGTCGTCGACGTCAAATTTGGCGTCCCACGAGGGGTTATCAAACAACAAACTGATTAAGGGTTCATCATCGGGACCATCCTGGTCCAGGGTTTCTCGGATGTATTCATACAAATCAAAGTCCGCATAGTTACCCTTTAGCTCCTCTGCCAGGTCTCCCAACGTCTTGTCCAGATCCGGGAACTGGGCAGCCACAGACAAGGTCACAAAACTGGAGGGGTAATCGCTCATGTGCAGTTGCGGTCTGTAGCCTGCAAAGGGGCAGTCGTACTTGGTATCCGCAGGACTCGAACCCTTCGTACAAGAAACTTTAGGGGCCGGTATTCGGGATTGGTCGACTTGCATGAGACTGATCTCACCATGCTCGTCGGCATATTTGCTCAGCGCGTTTTGAAGTTCTATCTTCCTCTCGGTGTCATCACTGATAGCCGCAATATCAAATGTCTCAACACCCTCCCTCTTCAACCTATCCTTCTCCACCTGGTGTGGATGTTGTGTGGAAGGGGGCTCATTTGAGGGCTCATTTGAGGGCTCATTTGAGGCAACGGGTTTGGTAGTAGCCGAGGCGGGTTCCTCACTAGGCGAGGAGCTGCCACGGATTGGTTCCACGATTACTGTGTAGTAGTGCACTTTCTCAAAGTACGTCTCAATGAAATTTCTCCATTTCTCTTCGGTCCACTTCTCCAGCAGATTGGCATAGCATTGCTGGTCATTGAGGCATTCAGCGATCTTATGTTCGTCATAGTTGCAGTTTACGCAATAACTGACTAGTCTGTCATTAATAGTTTTGCCTGGCTGGCTCTCTAGATTCAGTTGGTGCTTCCACATCTCTCTCTGAACAAGATTACGAAGCCGAGTAAAATCAAAATTCTGTCGCATATGACCGTCAAGACAACGCCGAATTAGCTCCGGAACGTTCGGACACTCCAACGGGTCCACGTCCGTGAAGGTGTAGTTCACAAGCGGCCACTTAATGTTGTCCATGGTATAGTCTATGGCGCCTGCACACGCCTCAGGTCCTTCCACAAACCGGTGATTGAGCGGTGCTGCCGGTCCTTCCGTCAAGTAATGGCACACAATGTCAACGGCCAAGCGCTTTTCCAGATCAAACCAGTCGTAGTTTTGGCGGATGGAAACGGAACAGAATGAATCCTGATATTCGTTCTCCGACTCGATCTTTTCAACTCTCACAAACCCGACCGGAATTTCCGGTTCCTTCTCGTTGCACCAAGGGTCCAGATGTCGTTGCACTTCAGGCCCGTCTTTAGGGGCCAGTGTTAAGTACGTGTCTTCATATTTCTCCAACACCTTTATAAAATCTTCTGCTCGGACATCTCCGATGATGACCACAGTGGTGTTGGCGGCATGGTAGAATTGCTGGTGGACCTTCTTGACATCATCCAGGGTCAGTGAAGGAATTGCTTTCGGATCTCCCCCAGTGTTGTAACGGTAACCAGATGCCTCAGGGTAAGCATGTTTCGCCGTCAGATAATATGCAACGTCAGCCGGTTCAGTCATAGCCGTCTGCATTTCGGAGAAGACTACACCCGAATTATCATAGCTTGGTGTAACGTGGAATACCTCAGTCTTGAAAGCCTCCAAAGTCAGAGTGGGAAAATGAACATGCTCCAAAAAAACTGGGATGATCCTTTGCAATCCTTGACTACTGGCACTAGACACTTGGTATACCGTACGGTCGGTTGCTGTGTACGCATTCGTACCATTGCTCAAGCAAGAACAACAATACGAATCCAGGAACCCCGGAACCGGGAAGTTCGAGCTGCCCTTGAAACAGAGATGCTCCAAACAATGTGGCTCACCCTTGTCGCTCTCAGCCCGCGTCGGCACCACGATCTCCATGTGTACGATTCCACTCACACATTCCGCTACAATCAACTTCAACTGTGTCCGCGTAGACCTATAACGACTTATCCGACGCAGATTGCCGCCACAACCAACCACCTCTTCCAGGACCGCAAACATTTTACTCCCCGATAATACCCCCCCACCCTATGCTGACCGAACAATCCCCAACCGGCCGAAACCCCCAGCCGCCGAAACCCCCAGCTGGCCTTATCACTTCAGCATTTGTGAAACCCCCGAATAATTACCCGGCAACACACTAACACCTTGTAACACTATCCCCGAATGTACAGCACCACCCCCGAATGTACGGAACCATCCCCGAATGTACAGCACCATCCCTGAGTCACATGTCGCTTCACCGTATCACATGTCGCAGAAGTTTACGAGCACCCCGTGTTTGTGTCAGAGATAAAGCTCAAAGGTTGTTTTCATGCTGAATTCAAAC